CAGGCATTTACGGAGAAGGCAAGGAGGCAGTCCCCCGGCTGAAGAGCAGCAACCCAATCAGCGGGCAAGGCCGCTGCTTCCACCTGCACGAGGAAAAGAGATGCCAATGTGCCATAGACTGTCCTCTATGTCTCTCTTCCCGTCATTGTTACTACCAGGCTTCCGGTTCCTGTGTAAGTTTCTCTCGTTCTGTCTGCCACCGTCTGTTGACGGGGTCCACCGATATTTTCGTTTTGCATACGATTCCCTCTTGGATGTCTAGATCTTCTGCCGGTAGGACTCATGTCATCTGTGGCATCTGTTTGTGTCCCCTGGTCCTCTGCGACAGCATCCCTGTTCTCACTTCTTAAGCAGTCTTACCTTAACGCCGGCCAGAGAGGTCCTTTTTTCCCTGCTGCCGATGACGTCTCCGCATTGCGACACCAGCCTCTCCACCAGAGGCCCCGCCCCCTCCTCCCCACACACGTGCAGCTCCCTTACCTGCAGCATCAATGACAGTAATTAAAGCGGCAAAAAACATTATAGCTGCGGCAGTTGGAGCATTTGTACCCGAAGCCTCGGAAGAAGCAACAGCAGTACCGCCCACAGACCNATAGCTGCGGCAGTTGGAGCATTTGTACCCGAAGCCTCGGAAGAAGCAACAGCAGTACCGCCCACAGACCCGCTTCTGCAGCTAGAACGGAACATCGATGCAACTGCCTCAGCACAAGCCGTAGCTCGAACAAAAGCAGCAGCAATCACGCAAGGGAAGGCACCAGCAGCGCCAGCAGCAACATTCGTAGAGGCAGGTGAGTACGTGCCCTGAGGCCTAAGAACGCTCTGGTCCACGCGGGCCCTCTTTGGGGGTCGGCCAATAGTTGCACTTCGTCGATAACCCCAACGGAAAAGTCCTTATCTAAAGGCGCAGCCTCTACTGTGCTGCACACGTGAGTCGCTTCCTGCAATAACCGCAAGCAAAAACAGCACCAAAAGGACAGAAATGCACGACCACCATCGGTGGAACCGAACTGCTCTGCACTCCACGGAAGCAGCAGTCCACCGCTGGCTGGGAACCCCAACGAAAGCCATGAACCGCCTCCAAGCTGGGGCCATCAATGTGGCTGAATGTTTGCTCACTGTATCTATGATCTTTAAAGGACCCGTGATCAGAGAGCACTTTACCCCTTTCTTCCGTAGCTCGTTGTACACTTCAGTGGCCAAGAGACGGAGCGGACCCAAGTAGCACCCTGTTGGGGCCCCCAGGAGGGCCTCAAGCGCCCCCCTGGTCTTCCCACTGTTCGGAGGCCCCAGGGAAAGAGAAACCCGACGCTGCTGTTGCCGTGCGACGGGAAACCAAAGCTCAGGTGCCGTCAGGTCCTGTAATGGCAGGCAGACGCACACCGTAATGTTCAGAAAGAGGCGTGACAGCTGCTTCAGCAGCGCAGCCGTCCCAAGAAGCAGCAGCAACAACAGCAGAAGACTCTCATCTAACTCACCACAAGCTTCAAGATATTCTTGTACGAGACAACAGCAGAGACGCCACTTCTCGCCAGGTATATTCGATAGAGAGCAAGCAACGGGCCTGCTGCAGAAGGGAGAAGAGGAGAGGCTGTGGGGTCTTTCAGACTGCCAGGGGTCCCCGGAGGGGCCCCTGGAGGCCCATCAACTGCAGCACAGACTTCGAGAATCTGCATAAAACGGCACAACGTCAAAGGTGTCAAGCGCGAGCTGCTTAGTCTGGATTGTAAGTCTGCGGCTCCACATTGAGTCGAGTGGCTCGACAACTCACCAGTTGGTAAGTGCTGTTTAGCAGGTCTCCTTCTTCAAAGCCTCGCACTGCCCTCTTCCACTGTTCCAGCAGCGCTTGCAGCCTCTCGTACGGCTGCTGTTGCTGCTGCTGCTTCGCCCTCCTGGCTTCTGCTGCTTCGTTGAGGTCGAACTGACCTCTTATCGACCGCAGCAAATCATTGAAAGCCTCAGCCTGCAGCTTGTCCAGGTTACTCGTTTCATGGTGCTGCTGTGGCTGGTGTGCGCATTCCTGCTCTTGCTGTTGCAGCTGTTGTTGTTGATGCGACTCCTGCTGCACGCGCAGGTACTGCTGCCCCTGGTGTCGCTGTAGTGCACTGTAGAGCCAGCGGAAGAAGGCCCGCTGCGTGTGTACTGCTGAAAGCAACGAAGCCGGGAGCCCCCACCGAGCCTCCAGGAAGGCAGCAAGAGGGGGCCCCCCGGATGCGCCATGGGGCGACTTGAGAAGGGAACGCGCAGACGACAGACGCCGCCAAAGGGAAACCAGTGCGTGGCGTTCTTCTGAGGTGAGAGGAGTACTCAACAGAAACAGAGAAACCTCTCTCGTCGCTAATCCTGCCGCTTTTGCTCCTGCTGCAGCTGCCTTGGGTGGT